ATAAAAAAAAGTGAAAAAGTTACTGGGTTGATATGCCGAGTCTCGGCGTTGGCTGAGAAGTTCACAGTAGATTCCCACCTCCACACAGAAGCTGGGGTTGTTTCGGGCCAGTGAAAAACGTCAGTAAAAATTCGATATCCCAAAACCCATTCGTGATTTTTTCCCAAATTTTCTGAGGAAAGAGGAGATGCCACTGAACCTTGGGTAAGACCAACTTGAATTACGAATGATTTCTCACGCACACGGTAGAGAATTTTAGTGGATATTGGAACGTCATTCTTGAGAAATGAAATAACACACAACAATATCACGAGCCTAATTGAGGACAGATGCGCATATGGGCAACTTCTCCGTGGTTGTCATTTTGGTTGGATCCTGTTAGAGGTATTCTGTTTTTTTCTTTTATTATAAGGTTTTCAAAATAATATGAAGTGAAGCAATACAGCGAACCATTCCGTGCAGTGGATGCATTTACCCTAAAAAAATGTCGCAAATAACGTACAGCGTTTGTTGTGCATTAATCTGTACGTATATTTCGTGATTAAACTTACTTCTACTATCACTTAGACAAGTCTTGCCGGAAAATTTCACTGGCACGAGGCCAATGTGAAACATGAGATCCGTCGACACCGAAAGTGAAACATAAGATGCGTCTTAGCGCAGTAGAGTAGCAACACACAGAATGCGTTGCTACGCAGTGCCTAAATTCTTCACTCCTTGTGGACCGAATAGCTCGGACGAGGCGCGTAGATCTATTCACCATATTGAGGACAGTCTGTCAAACTACGCAGACGGGGTTACTCAGAGTGCGATATTTGGGATGTTTTCTGGCGCCGTAAAGAAAGTCGTATAAAATACGAGAGTGGGCGCGATGTGATGCGTTCACCACATGACACCACACGGAGGTCGCTGTGGTTCTCTGCTTCGCTCCTTCCGAGGTCGGAGGGCGCGGCACGCAGGCCAGACTCCCACGACACCTACAGCGACTCCTGCGCTACGTGCTTATCCGTCGGAAGTCCGCTGTATTATAATGTTAGTTTTGTCTGATATTGATGAAAGTGATTAGCCTGCGCCTGTAAATAACGACTTATGTGTGATTATTATGTTGTTGATACCCCTATTACTACTAGTTTCGAACGCTAAGCACGTTGAATTTCGAAAAAAAATTATTTGAGGAACTTGTATTACACTATGTTCGGTGAAAAAGTTTAGCTTAATTTGGCATAATATCTTTATTCCAGAAATAGACAAATGCTCATTTACTTATTCTCAACTTCAATATGATTGATTATTTTAATTCGATCTTTGCCGCGTGTCTAAATTTTTGCGTTTACGCAGAACAAGTAAAGATGTCATTCATGTAATTATAATTTTCGTTCAAGTAATGCGACAAAATCTTTAGATTGGTTGGTAACGCATTTTGGTTGTAGATATTTCAGTCAATTTAAAAAAATATAAATTCACTTCTGTTGTGTTTCTGTTACAGTTCACTATTGTTATATATATATATATAATTATATTATTATATATTATTATATATAGTAAAGAGAAAATTAGGAAGCTCCAGCGCATGGCTAAGTTACATTGCAGAACGCGTTCAAGTTTTACTGAATGGTAACCGCTGCAAATAACATAAGTAAACCAAATTCTTATTTTTTATTCTAATAAACCTGAAACTATTTACCGACTTAATAATTATGTGAATAATTGTTCACTCAATTAATCTTTTCATAAACGCATTCTGACCATTTTGACTTAGTGAACTGAAATAGTAAAATTTTAATCATGTTAAAATTATTTTGCGTTAATTTTTATACAAACTTGCTGAACTTTTGTTGGTTGACATAGATCAGATTTTTGATTTGTTGATACCATCGAAACTTTCTTAGGACAAATTTCTTATTATCATTTGGGGAGAAGCTTCCCTTTACTTTACTTGTCTAACGCCGCATTGTATAACACGGATTAGCTTTTGTTTTGAATAATGCTAAATTGGAGAGATAAATATTACACTGGTAGTAGCTATATCCAGTTTTTGTAATGTAGTCTCTGAATTTTAGTATTGTCTTCGTTGCTTTCTGGTGATAGCATTAAATCGGTCCTTCCCTTTCTCGCCAGTGGATTTTTCAGTGACGGGCGTTGCTTCGTCGTTCGATGACAACGTCTTTAGCGAAAACAAGTTGAAATAGCTATCATCAGAGATTATTTTTCGCAGCATCCAATAAATGTTTCTCACGGTAAGCCGCACCCCAGCGGTAATTGCCATCATCTGGGATGTCTATCAACGTTCTAGCGTTCAATCTAAGCTGTCGAACCGGCCTGCGCCTTGCTCACGAGTAGCAGCGAGCGCTATGACTTCATTATAATCCAGCATGAAATTATCGGTGATTTTCGTGCTTTCGGAGTCGCTGAAGGAAGAGCCTGGCGAAAAGTTCTGACAACTTCGTCGCTGGGGTGATGATCCAGAGCTGCGGGATTAGGTTCCTTCGGGACTGTTCTAGTGTTTTGAAGAATTCTATCAGCACGCTATATAGGTTATACTGCTTGTGGGCGTACGAAAATCTTTATAGTGTTTTGACAATTTTTTTATCTTTCCTTTTAAAAATCGTCGAATCACTAAAATGCCGATTAGTTTCGCCGATGAAGTGCAATACTTTTTATTGAGGTCAATCAGGTCGTGATTTAAGATGCAACAAACTCAATGGTGGAAAATTATGACTTTTTATGGTGTATGCAAAATTTACCAGATGCTGCAAAGAAAATTGTACATTTTTTTTATATTGATTATAAAAATCAATAAAATCAATAAATTTGAATTTATTTGGAATATTTGAAATAAATTCCATTTAACTAATTTATTTTGAGACATGTTTTTTTTTTCAGCTGACACAGTGTAACCTGTTTACAGTGTAACCTGTTTGATTATATTTACGGCATAACCAATAGTTATATGTAATAGAAGTTCACAAATGGAAGACGAGTAACAGATCTGCGAACAGCTCATCCAACCTGGTAGACTGCTTTTATTCGAAGTTCAGAAAATAGTTTCCTTTTTGTTTATAAAAAATCTTTCTAAATACAAATTAGTGCTACCATATCCGAGCACACAGAATTAACCAATCATGGAGTGGGCGAATCATGCAGGTAGCTTCGTCAAATTATCTCCAATCTTCAATGCAAGTAGAAAAATTTCCGAGGATTCCTGCGGCGTAATCATTCAAAACTCTAAGAAACTTGCACATATTTTCAGAAATTTGTCAGTACATGTTAATATTGTTCGTGAATCAGCTTCTTGCTATTATAGTCCTGATATATGCTTAGACTTCTGCCCAGGATTCGCTACACTCGGTCTAGAATTATTATGGTACTGCTTGGCCACCCGACCGAAATCAACATCTGCATGGTTAGAATCTCTATTCCGACTTTATTGAGTCCTGAGAAAATGGGCTTGCCGACGCAAAGTCATACCAAGCTGAAGCTTGCATGCAAACTGCTTAATAAAAGCTGCACTTCAAACAAAGCGAACATAGAGCGTCTGATTAACATGCATTCAGAGTCCTATATATAGGTTAAACCTCTTGAAAACTGAAAAGTAGGGCACGCATCTAAATTTTGTTATAGTATGCCATTTGCCGATGCCAATAATGTAGTTTGATGTTGATATATATTAACTCGTCGTTATTACTGATGCCGCTCGCCGACGTTGCTGACGTAACTCGCCTTTGTTGCTGATGCAGCTTGTAGCTGTTATTGATGCAGACCTTCGTCGTTGATAATACGTTCGCTGTTCTTACTGGTGTAGTGAGCTGCATTTGTTGGAATGAGCTGTATACCGTTGCTGGTATGAACTGTACAATGTTGCTGCAGCAGCTGGTATGAACTGTACAATGTTGCTGCAGTAGCTGGTATGAACTGTACAACGTTGCTGCAGATGCTGGTATGAACTGTACAACGTTGCTCTAGCTGCTGGTATGAACTGTACAGCGTTGCTGCAGCAGCTGGTATGAACTATGTAACGTTCTTGCCATTCCTGACATGAGCATACCGCAGTTGTTGGTATGAGCTATAAGTATGAGATGTATGAGCTATATATATGTACGTATACCGTCACTGCAGCGTCGCGTTGTCTTGCGGCGCCAGTAACATGAGAGCGCTTGGGGGGCTCGCTAGGGGGGTCAAGGGGGGCAGTGCATACTGACAAGGCGATCCATGTTATCCCTCTTTGGTTGCGCGCAGAATTAGTTATCAGTTTTTTAATCAACTGACGTTTTGGACAAGTGATTGAACACTAAATGTAATTTTTTTCAAGTGTTCAAGAGGCGTGAAAATGTCAGCGTTTATTTTCAATACTTTTTAATATTTCTACATGAAGACAGGACGCGATCTAGTTTTGTCCGTCAGACATAATTGTGGGAAGAGCGGTGAAAAAAGCGCGAATGTGATATTAGCCAAAAGAATATTCTTGGAGTTGTAAATTTTCAATCAATTTTAAGATTTCGGTAAAGAGATAAGATGTTGTTAAAGCCAATAGATGTGCACAGTACGTGGCGTCATTAGACCTATTTTATGGTGCTTCGGTCCCTTAAGATATTTTTAGGCTCCCCTACATAATTTTGTATTCACTTCTTGAATATTTCCATTTTCGAGAAGCAAATCCCGAATGTGACCCGAAAAAACCTTTTAATAAATTATCATACAACCAGTAATTATTAACTAATATATCTTGACACTTAGAGGGCTTAGTCCCTACCTCTCGGTCCTTAGAACCTATCAACGCCCCCTGGACATGTTATTCTCATCCTTCCCTTGCGCATGAAAGAATTGTTGTAAAGTTCAAAATTCTATGCTGCTGTCCAATAAGCTTGATCGTTATAATATTGTAATTAATTCTACAAGTTACGTAAAAAGGCTCGTTTTGTGCTCAATTCATTCTCCTCTAATTTGCATGGCAAAGTTAAAATATTTTTGAAACACCTGTAGCATGTAGTCAAAAATTGAAGATGATGAACATCCACGTGAAGAGCCAAATAAGCCGACTTCGAAGTACATCTGGGCTTCTTGAGGCGGGGACACTGCAGAGATGCGTTGACGGAGGGGGCAGAGGCGCCCGTGTCGCCCCTGGGGCGGGGGAGAAGAGGCCCGTGTCGCCCCTGGGGCGGAGGGAGAAGGAGCCCGTATCTCCCCTGAGGCGGGGGAGAAGAGGCCCGTGTCGCCCCTGGGGCGGGGGAGAAGGCGCCCGTATCGCCCCTGGGGCGGGGAGAAGGGGCCCGTGTCGCCCCTGGGGCGGAGGGAGAAGGAGCCCGTGTCGCCCCTGGGGCGGTATTAAATGTATCTGAAACAATGCTGCTAAACACCTCTAAAACACGCTACTAAACACCTCTAAAACACGCTACTGAATGACTTTTATTAAAACACGCCATTAAATGTATCTGAAACAATGCTACTAAACACTTCTAAAACACGCTACTAAACACTTCTAAAACACGCTACTAAACACCTCTATAACACGCTACCAAACACTTCTAAAACATGCTACTAAACACCTCTAAAACACGCTACTAAACACCTCTAATACATGCTACTAAATTAACACCTCTAAAACACGCTATTAACTGCCTCTAAAACACGCTACAAAATACCTCTAAAACACGCTACTAAATACCTCTAGAACACGCTACTAAATGCTTCTAAAACACGCTACTAAACACCTCTAAAACACCTACTAAATGCTTCTTAAAAACGCTATCAAATGCCTCTAAAACAATGCTATACTAAATGCCTCTAAAACAATGCTATATTAAATGCCTCCAAAACAACGCTGCTCAAGATTCTAAAAGATAAAACAAAGTACAATGACATTTGCAAGTGCGGTTTAATGTGCAATGTGCACAGAATGAAATTCGGAATCCTGTTTCCTTGACATATGCCTTATAGAAGAGTGTTGTTTTAAAATGTACTTGTTTTAACTCACACCGTTTGTGCTTCGATGGCGCGCTATTTATCTATGCGCGTGCCACTGAAGCGAGGAAAAAAAAGCTCAAGAGACGTCCTGCCGTGGTGCCCAACAGTACCCGCCCATCGTATTTTTAATATTATTAATTAGAATGAATTAATATATGATATAAATTATAATAAATTTGGTATCTGGTATTATAGACACTAAAATTATGTTAACCTCCAATAATAAAATAGGGAATTATTATTGAGCACGCAATTCTAGAAGAAAACTGATAAAAATGCTTATTAGTCATAATTAGATAATAATAATGATCAGTAGTGTCAGTAATCCATATTTATTAGTAATAATGATAGCAAATAGTGTTTAATAATGATTACTTGCATGCTTGCAATAATCAAAGTACTTAGCGTGGGAAGTAAGGCTTCTTGACTACAACATCCGTTGCCTGTCGTAAACAAACTTGCATGCTAGCGAACAGCAGGCTTTCTATGTGTATATAAAATTTCTTAAAGCCCATCGAATGTGTCTTTCTGATATTTTTTTACTAAACTTAATGTTAAATTTTGTAAACATCTTGTTTTCTCAATATTGTAGCTCATCGTCACATCGGAAGGCGATAGTTAAAGGTTTAGACTTTAGAACATATATATCTATATTTTATTTTCGTAGTTTCTGTTGAGGCAAATCAGAATTTTGGGTCCTGCATGAGTGAGAGCGAAGTGAGTTCCAAATTTTAATTTCGTTTAAGATTCGTTTAAGGGAAATTATTAATGTGTGTATACATACACGACCGGCGTCATGACTAGTGAAGAGTAAACGTAGTCTAAGGTTTTTACGTTTTTTTGTCAATAGCGAACTCTCAATTGATTACAAATATGTATATTTTTTCAATAAAACCAGGCGTATGCTGATTCACGAAAGAAACATGACTCCACCTCTTCAATAGGCTACATCCTTTGTCTAATTTCACTTCACTGTTAGCTCTGTTCACTTGACATCATCGCCCCCAATGAACTTTGCTCGTAGAATATTTAGTCATGAACAGTGACAATTTAAACGACTGTTACACCCGCTCACAACCTCAGCAATAACACAAGATGTGTGTAGGGATTGAGGACGTTAGGTACATGCGAATGTTCAGGCAATCAGGGTCTCGGCAATTTGTTACGTTACAAGTGCTCTCTTCCTCTGGTGAATTTGACGCGTGTAATTTGTGATGGACGATCACGACGAACTCTGGCATCACCTGCATCCTCGACAACTCCGATCCTGATCTACATTTCGAGGTTCTCATGAAAGTTTATGACCGTTTCCTTAATAGACATGCTTTATTTTTTGAAATGTTATGAGAAACAAATTAATATAGTTTAATACAATGTTGTCCACTTGACATCAGTTTTTATTTTTCTCAGGACGTTATGAAAACTTGAGAGAGTGGAGATCGTTTACTATACTGTGCAAACACGATTGAACGATAAAAGTATTACGATTTAGTACGTCATCAAGCAGTGTTTCAATCGTACAAGCAAACACAAAGTTATTACCGGAGTTATTTTTGATGCCGAATCAAGTTAGCATATTACTATGTCTCGTTTCGCGCACATTTTCCTCCTGGCATCGCCTTGAACTGGCATCCATTTTTTCGGGTTCTCGCCTTAAAGTGAATTTTAATGCAATTTGTTCTCTTTATTGTATTTAGTGGGATCATGAGTGGTTATTTGAAATCAATTATATGTTAACAAGTTTCTACGTTTCATCTGTGGGGTTACGCGATGCTCAATTCATAATAATTTTGGTCGATTCGAACCAATCGTTTGCTTGAACGTCAGTTGATGCGCACTGCCTGTAATTCTCAGGGTTGACTTAACGCTTCAAAAATTTCATTCGTGGTTGGGCGAACGATGTTGGGAATTGCTGCGTCCTGTTGTATTTATGTCTGGTTTCAGAACTCTACAATGGAGTTCATGCGATATCTTCAATTACGCGCTTCCTTATTAACAAAAATTTTTAAACCCCTTTGTTCCCTATAACTTCAATACAAGCTGCGATAAATGTCTATAATAATACAGCATCCCGTACGTGTAATGCTTGCTGACAGTTCTGATATTGCGTTTTCATGATAACCTCAAATGAATAAACTTTTTTCTATTAACTATGACGGTTTCACTGCTACGTTTTAACAATTATGGATTTCTTTATCTACTTAATTTGAATTAAGAGGTATAGGTTTACTTACGGTGGAACTCAAGAATAGGCAGTCTTAGATGCTCTAAATTAAGAGACGTAAGTATGAACTTAGTTTATGTTGCGTACGAGGTTCATGTTGGATCAGATGACACGGCCACTTCTCGCTCTCCTTGCTTGTTCTAGGCGTGCAAAATTGACCCTATATATAGGGCTGCGGCGGTACCCAGTGAAAATTTACAGACGCGGCAGCTTCTGATTTGGATTACCAGAAGCTGAGGCGACTCTAAATTTTGTTAGGGTAGCTTTTCATTTGAGCTCAACAAGGAAGCTCCTCAGGATCTGCTGCGCTCATTGCGTCTAATGACTTCATAAATTCTAATGAATTTGAGGGCTTAGGTTTTTCATTTCCCTCTGCCCGCCTTCACCATGTCGATTCATGTTAAAAGTCTAATTCATTGATTGAAATAACATGCAGAAATTTGTACTGATGAAATTTGAACTTGAAATGCGGTAAGCGACGGTAGAAGCTCTCGTAATAACTTCAATAAAACATCATGCAAGACAGCTTTGGTCTGCTGTTCTAAACATTATATCATTTATATGTTATTGAATCAAGTTGTATGATTAATTTTTTATTTATTGTTTTGCATAAATTCGACGCCATCTAGCACAAAAAATTTCCTGTAATTTCAAGTTGAGAAATCATTGGGATATTATGAATATAAGAATCATTCATTTTATTCACAGAAAGTCGGTCTAGCCAGCATACAATATTAAGAAAAAAGCTGTAGTTTTTTCGTTAAGTTTTCGTCATTTCACCACACCAGCCCCGGGAATTTGTGACCAGACACCGCATCCTACTAGGCATTTCATTACTATAACAATTCATCATTGGGACATTTCATCATTATAGCAAGTCACCATAAAACTTCAGCACTGCATAGAGCCCATAGTGTAAACATAATTACGTATAAGTTAGGCTAGGTTGGTTTGGTTTAGGCTGGTAAAAGATGAAACGATGAAATGTCCACTAAATATGTTGATGTGCCAGGGAACCCTGAGAATCAGCACATCGTACGACGAGAGTTGTCCGGCTGACGACAGGTGTTGGGGTGGCCACTCCTTCAGAAGGAAGGGTCACCCCAACACCAGGTGGTGTGCACAGGGGTGTCCCAATTGGTTACCACCAGTCCTGGTACGGTGCGTTTGTCATCTATTTTGGTGTTACGAAGGTCTTGAATTAAGTTTCAATAGCATTGAGATCTAATTTCAAGATACTATGGATGCAATAGCTTGGAGCTTTTTTTAATTTAAATTCTATTCGCTCAACATTAAATAGCATCAAAATCTCTAGCAACTTTATTTTATTCAAAATCTCATTTTATTCGAGATGATGCCCGAAATCGACTCATGAACTCAATTTTTCCCGAAACAAGTTTGAGAATCTGTTTGTACATTCCGAGTAATTGCACTAAATTTTTCTCGCTCTGCCACACTTACGTCTGCAGTCCATTGATTGGTGATCCGACACCCTGAAGTTGCTGTTAGTTTGGCCGAGGTATTCTAGACGTCGCGTAATGTCGAATATGAACACTCCTGTTTACGCTTGTGTTCTCTGTGTGTACATGCAGCTTGCTGAACTCGTGTCGCCGATGCTCGTTTGTTTACACGCTGCAGCGCAAAACGTTTTCTCCGTTGCTTCCTACAGTCGTTGTTAGGTTGCTGCAAAAGCGCAAGAGCACAAGCGGTTAGTTCAAGCTGTGCACATTGTGAATCGCGATACATGCCCTGCAACAGGATAGCATTTCACTGGCTTCTGCCAATCGTTGAGATTAGCATTAGTTTTTTACAAATATCTCGACTCTTTCTTTCTAATAAAATTGCTATTATCTAGCCTTATCAGTCGATTCAATTTAAGTGCACAAATATCGATAGGCACTTCGCAGTTTAACTGTGCCCCAATTATCATGCTGTGCCCTGAAGTGATAATTGTCCTTGTAAAGTTTCCTTTTTTCTGCTGTCATATTCGGCGCGTTGTAATCAGAAAAATTCGATTTGAATCACTGAATAACTACTGAATTCACTGAATTCGATTTGCATCACTAA